CCGCGGCTGCCGCGGCAGTTCCGACGCCCTTGCCGTAGTAGATGGATTCCATCGCTCATCGCTTCCTTAATTGCGCCTCTGTCCGGCAGGTGGGGCACCGCGGTGTCCACAAGTACAACTGCAAGCCGGAGTTAGCTGCATTCCCCATCGCTGCCATCACTGATATGATCGAAAAACCCGACGCCATTAACAAGGTACTGTATAAGCTGTATATTTCGCGGTGGTTTAATTTTTGCGAATTTCGCGAACGCTTCCCAGACCGCGAAAATAATAACACGCGAATAATTCATAATTCACCGACCACGAAATTAACCATTCGCGAAATTGTCCGTCAAGTCTGAATTCGCGAAAATATCTGTACGCGAAAAATACGGCTTACCTAGTATACCAATGAGAATCTGGACTGCCGTCTAAAGTCGTTGGGGCAGAGCCCGCGTTAGTTCAAAATGACGTAAGACGGAGGCAGTCTAGATGCGATCGACGCTCGACAGAGGGCGCTGCTCCCTGACAGCTCCCAAATGAAATACCGTCAGCAAACGCACGTGCACACACACACACACACACGCACGCACACACACACACGCACGCACACGCACGCGCACGCACGTACACACACACATACACAAGCACGCACACACACACACGCACGCACGCACACGCACGCACGCGCACACACAGACACACACGCACACACACACTTTTGTTTGTGTTAGTTCTTGGTTGTTCGATCTTTTCGGTTGTGATAATTTTTGTTCGCAATGTTCTATTGTAAAGATTTTTGTTTTTGTTTTCTCTTCGTTATCTAGTTGAGAAGGGAGATGCTCTCGGAGAAGACTAACGCTGTGGCTAGTGGCGCCCCCCATTGCTGTGTGTGCGCGGACACGAACGACATGTGCGCCCTCTCTCGTTACGGCGGACTTCTGTTGTGTGAACAGTGCATCCGATTCCAAACCATGTAGTAATTCAGCTAGTTAGGATAATAAAGCATGTATAGCTAGGGGAATAAAGCATGTAGCTAGGAGAATAAAGCATGTAGCTATAGTCCATGTAGCTAGGAGAATAAAGCATGTAGCTATAGTCCATGTAGCTAGGAGAATAAAGCATGTAGCTATAGTCCATGTAGCTAGGGGAATAAAGCATGTAGCTATAGTCCATGTAGCTAGGATAATAAAGCATGTAGCTATAGTCCATGTAGCTAGGAGAATAAAGCATGTAGCTATAGTCCATGTAGCTAGGATAATAAAGCATGTAGCTATAGTCCATGTAGCTAGGAGAATAAAGCATGTAGCTATAGTCCATGTAGCTAGGATAATAAAGCATGTATAGCTAAGGGAATAAAGCAGGTAGCTAGGAGAATAAAGCATGTAGCTATAGTCCATGTAGCTAGGATAATAAAGTATGTAGCTTAGTCCATGTAGCTAGGAGAATAAAGCATGTAGCTATAGTCCATGTAGCTAGGAGAATAAAGTATGTAGCTTAGTCCATGTAGCTAGGAGAATAAAGCACGTAGCTAGGAGAATAAATCATGTAGCTCGCAGAATAAATCATGTAGCTAGGATTATAAACCATACCAGGGGTTAATAATGACAAGTTTGTCATTATTAACCACTGACCATATATAGCTAGGATTGTAACCAATATGTAGATAGGATTGTAAACAATATGTAGTTAGGATTGTAAATAATACGGAGTTAGGAATATAAACAATATGTAGTTAGGATTACTAACCATGTTGTTATGATTGTAAACCAAGTGGTGCAGCTAGCTAGCAGTTTTCAGGGACCCTATTGTGATATTCTGATAACATAGCGATGGTCATGCACACACCTGTAAATGTGTTTTATACATTCCAGAAGTTTCGTTGAGCAAGCAGATGTGCAAAAAACGCGTATGAAACAAACAATTCGCACCAAACCGATCCTTTTAAAATACGAGAACGATGAAATGATATTAAAAAAAGCATGAATAAAACATGGTTTTTCAGACAAATTTCCTATTTAATCAATCAACAGTTTGTTACAATGAAAGAAAGACTGACTTGTCAGCAGTTGGACTGCTATGTAAAATGCATGTGGACTTGATATGGACACAAAATTTACGTCTACGTTTGGTATAAACGGGATACACTTACATAACATTTAGTATCAGGAGTGGGCTCATATATCGATCATGCCATCGGCTTCCTCCTAACAATACTCACATGTGCCCACACGCAAGCACGCGCGCACACACGCACGCACGCGCACACATGTACACACGCACACAGACAGACATTTATGAAATGGTACATGTAGGAATGCAAGCATTTGTACAGGTGCATAGATAGTACAGGCATGTGCACACACATTCGCACAACAGGATGCGTGTACACACACACACACACACACGCACACACTGTCACTGACCTGCTCAAACACACTCAGTGACAGGGTCAGTGACAGTGTGCATGCGTAGCGTACTGTAACATGTGCACAGGCCCCTGTGCATCAGGGATGCATCGTGTGCAGTAACCAGGGCCTGGTCAACACGACACGCTTGTATTAACCCTCTAGATGCATGGCCCGCACGATTGTCACTCATGTATACCATCTCATGTAGGAGCACCTTCTTCCTAAAGCACTAAAACTACTCTTACTAGCTGCCTGAACGCGGAGAATGCGTGCGAGATGCCCGGGGGGAAGGGGCGAGGAACGCCACGACTATTTCTTCCGCGTCAGAACTTGTTCCGTGATGGAGATGAGGGCACGCCGCGCATCTGACTGCGCAAGACTACCCACATGCTTGACAGCCTCCCTGCAGTGCTGTCGCGCCAGTAACCGCGTCTCCTCCAGTCCGTTGCTCTGAAAGCAAAAATGAACTTACAACTTAATGATTAATTAATTACTTAATATACTTTTTTTAAAGACGACCCTGCTATGAATAGAATTAAACACTTAACCACTTGACGTGATTCGCAGGCAGCTCTCATTGTTGCGGTAGGACAATCTAAAATGCTGTTTAGCAACAAAGTGCCTCAAAGTTGGCGTCGACGAAACTTGACAGCTGTGCTAGAACTATGCCTGTGATTATGCCAGCTCTGTGGTTGCTTCTTACCTTGTCCACACAGCTCCACGCTTCTTGAACATCGCCTTCTCTATCAAACCTTCTCATGATGAGCTCGTTCAGATGAGGAAACTACAGACAACAAGAGCCCGTGATAAGCTGAACCTCACGCACAAACGACACGTGAATGGTGACATATTGACATTACAAACATGATGAAATATTGACATGACGACATGATGACATTGTTTGTTGATCTTGCATTGACATGATGACATGTTGTTGGATTTGGCAGTTGCCGATGACATGTTGTTGATCTTGTATTGACATGATGACATGTTGTGATCTTGCATTGACATGATGACATGTTGTTGATCTTGTATTGACATGATGACATGTTGTTGATCTTGCATTGACATGATGACATGTTGTTGATCTTGTGGACATGATGACATGTTGTTGATCTGTGCCAATTTGACATGTATGATATGTGTTGGCTGATCTTGCATTGACTATGATGACTGTTCGTTGATCTTGCGTTGCATGTTGCGGTCGACGACCGCTGCTCGACTTTGTCTCGACGGAGGAGGTCCTTGGGCAAGCCAGCCGCCAGATCTGAAGCTATTTGGGCCTCGCGGCACAGGCGCCTGTGTTAGTTCGCTGC